GCTGTGAGCCAGTGGGGGGGGGGGGGGGGGGGGGGGATTCCACATTCTTTATGGCGGGGACGAGTCTATTCATAGGAAAACCGCCGTTGAATCCCCCGCAAAGTGGTACCTATTTTATCGACCCCCGAAAGGAATGACGGGCTGGGTCATAACTCTCAACCGCTGAGCCACTTACGGTGGTATAGGCTGTGGCGCTATGTGCGGCAGAATCCACTGTTGTACTGTTTTATGCTTCCGCACCTATGCTCCACAACCGCCCCCACCCCACCCACCTTCAGCAACCAGCATTGACCAAGTGAGTGGTTTTGATTGGGGGGACCGCCAGGCCAAGCAGTTGAGTGACAGCAGCTGATTTATGTATCATGAACAACACCAGTAATGGACTGAGACGGATACGGTGAGGGTCGGGTGGTTCCAACGCCCATCACAAAAGTCGTGTGGGGTCACTTTTAATGGGTGCTCGCATACAGCACTCGTTCAGGCTGAAAGGTGCGTGAACACGTGCGTAGTTGTACAGGGACTCCTCTACTTACGAACGCGTTATGTTCCAGAGGACTGTTCGTAAGTCGATTTGTTGATTCCCAAACACGTTGTAAGGCATTTACACTAAACACGGGGAATGGCTTTTAAAAATTTGTACAATCTCCTGTAGACGTAGATGCCACTGGTTCTTCACGTTCTGCAGATGTAGATGCCACCACCACCACCATCTATAGCGCGGCGGTTAAACTTGCGACTCTCGGTCCAAACAGGCAACGGGACATAATGACAGGTTTGTTCGTATCTCTGAAATTTCGTAAGAAGAATGTTCGTAGGTAGAGGAGTCCCTGTGCGTGCATACCTGTGCGGTTTTTTGTCGTGTTTCGTGTGCGTTTAGATGTCCGCAAGCGCGCATGTGTGAGGTCATAAACCGATTTTTCTGGGAGGTCTCAACCGGGACACGTGGGGCCCGAGCTGCCAACCCCGCTCCCCCGCTCCGTGAAACCCCGCCCTACTTTTACATAGCCACGCCCACTCGGCCACGAGCACCCCCCCCCCCCGCACAATGACGCCACTAACGGACACTGGGCCCCGCCTCCCGTTCACATGTCCCAGGAGGTGGCCACTCCCACCGCTCAGGTTAACCCACCGCCCTAGCCCCTCCTGGCTGTCGCCTGAGCTCGTTGTTGTACAGTGAGGGAAAAAAGTATTTGATCCCCTGGTGATTTTGTACGTTTGACCAGTGACAAAGAAATGATCAGTCTATAATTGTAATGGTAGGTTTATTTGAACAGTGAGAGACAGAATAACAAGAAAATCCAGAAAAACGCATGTCAAAAAATGTTATAAATTGATTCGCATTTTAATGAGGGAAATAAGTATTTGACCCCCTCTCAATCAAAAATATTTCTGGCTCCCAGGTGTCTTTTATACAGGTAACGAGCTGAGATTAGGAGCACACTCTGAAAGGGAGTGCTCCTAATCTCAGCTTGTTACCTGTATAAAAGACACCTGTCCACAGACGCAATCAATCAATCAAATTCCAAACTCTCCACCATGGCCAAGACCAAAGAGCTCTCCAAGGATGTCAGGGACCAGATTGTAGACCTACACAAGGCTGCAATGGGCTACAAAACCATTGCCAAGCAGCTTGGTGAGAAGGTGACAACAGTTGGTGCGATTATTCGCAAATGGAAGAAACACCAAAGAACTGTCAATCTCCCTCGGGCTCCATGCAAGATCTCACCTCGTGGAGTTGCAATGATCATGAGAACGGTGAGAAATCAGCCCAGAACTACACGGGAGGATCTTGTCAATGATCTCTAGGCAGCTGGGACCATAGTCACCAAGAAAACAATTGGTAACACACTACGCCGTGAAGGACTGAAATCCTTCAGCGCCCGCAAGGTCCCCTTGCTCAAGAAAGCACATATACATGCCCGTCTGAAGTTTGCCAATGAACATCTGAATGATTCAGAGGACAACTGGGTGAAAGTGTTGTGGTCAGATGAGACCAAAATGGAGCTCCTTAGCATCAACTCAACTCGCCGTGTTTGGAGGAGTAATGCTGCCTATGACCCCAAGAACACCATCCCCACCGTCAAACATGGAGGTGGAAACATTTTGCTTTGGGGGTGTTTTTCTGCTAAGGGGACAGGACAACTTCACCGCATTAAAGGGACGATGGACGGGGCCATGTACTGTCAAATCTTGGGTGAGAACCTCCTTCCCTCAGCCAGGACATTTAAAATGGGTCGTGGATGGGTATTCCAGCATGCCAATGACCCAAAAACACATGGCTAAGGCAACAAAGGAGTGGCTCAAGAAGAAGCACATTAAGGTCCTGGAGTGGCCTAGCCAGTCTCCAGACCTTAATCCTATACAAAATCTGTGGAGGGAGCGAAAAGGTTCGAGTTACCAAACGCCAGCCTCGAAACCTTAATGACTTGGAGAAGATCTGCAAAGAGGAGTGGGACAAAATCCCTCCTGACATGTGTGCAAACCTGGTGGCCAACTACAAGAAACGTCTGACCTCTGTGATTGCCAACAAGGGTTTTGCCACCAAGTACTAAGTCATGTTTTGCAGAGGGGTCAAATACTTATTTCCCTCATTAAAATGCCAATCAATTTATAACATTTTTGACATGCGTTTTTCTGGATTTTGTTGTTGTTATTCTGTCTCTCACTGTTCAAATAAACCTACCATTAAAATTATGGACTGATCATTTCTTTGTCAGTGGGCAAACGTACAAAATCAACAGGGGATCAAATACTTTTTTTCCCTCACTGTAATTACTGGCGAAAACGTCACAGTACTCGAATTGTGGATGTTGTAGTGCATTTACTCTCCAACACACAACCAGTGTTGCTGTACTCGTAACGAATTGGCACGTTTTTGTGTGACAAACCTTGTTAATCGAACATGTCGGGTGATGGCGGGTTTAACGACATTTATATTTACACGATCTAACCCCCCCAAACAATGCTCTATTACTACAATGGGCAGCCCCGCTCACTATTCAGAAAGCCCCTCCCACTCGCAGGTCAGTTTGACGTTGCGCACGAGGGCCAGAACATTTGAATACGAAATCTGCACAACACCGGAATTGGTTTTCGTGCAGCCACTAGGGGGGAGGTGTGTGTGTGGGGGGGGCTGTCCTAAAGGGGTAAAGGAGCATCTCTGCAAGTTCTCGCTCGCTGCCACTGGTGGTGGAAGGGGGAGCACTTTCTGCGAGAGTGAAATCTTTCAAGAGGGGTGTTTGGTCTACTCTTCCGCGTGAGCGGCGGCACGGCCGCCTGCAGTTTGCGCGCCCGCCGCTTGCTGTGCAAAAGGTCCACGGGGGTTCGAATCGAGCGCGCCGCCCCTGGTCCAGCACTGCGGCGCATGTCAACGGCACGAGACACGTGGTGCTGTCTGCGCCACAGGGGATGTTCACGACACGCCGATGTCGGGCAACTCAAAAAAATGACCCCGCACGATTGGGATTGTACACAGACGGCGGCAGCAATCATGCCTCCCCACTGGTCGCCCTTGTGAATGAGAACTCCCGACCTGGTCTCTTCACAGTCCCCACCTCGTTAACACTAAATGCCGTGCACACGTTGCAACACAATGCCCCCGACGTGCCATGTCGTGTGTACCCGCGTATTTGAGTATTCATCCTTGTGTTGTACACGCGTAGCTACACACACCTTCCTGAGTGTGCATACACCTGGACAAGTACCTATGATGTGCACCAGTGGGTACCTGCCATGAGTATTGTATGTACCTACATGCACATGTACAGTGTTGCCAAAGTCAGGACACATCGGGTTATTATATTTATTGTAACATCATATGGGGTTATTTAATGTGCAGGGACTCCTCTACTTACGAACGATTTAGGTTCCTGGGGTCTGTTTGAAGGTCCAACTTTCCTCCTGTCGATTCCAAACACGTTGTACGGCATGTACACGAAACTCGGGGAATGGCTTTAAAAGTTGGATAATCTCCTGTATATGTCACTGGTTCTTCATGTTTTGCAGATGTAGATGCCACTGGTTCTTGATATTCTGCAGATGTAGATGCCACTAGTTGCTGATGTTCTGCTGATGTTCTGCAGATGTAGATACCACTGCTTCTTCATGTTCTGTAGATGCCACTGGTTCTTCATGTTCTGCAGATGTCGATGCCACTGGTTGCTGATGTTCTGCAGATGTAGATACCACTGGTTCTTCACTTCTGCAGATGCCACTGGTTCTTCATGTTCTGCAGATGTAGATGCCACTGGTTGCTGATGTTCTGCAGATGTAGATTCCACTGGTTCTTCTTGTTCTGCAGATGCCACTCGTTCTTCATATTCTGCGGATGCCACCACCGCCATCTATTGCACGGCGGTGGAACTTACGATTCTCGGTCCGAACGGGCAACTGGACATACGGACAGGTTTGTTCGTATCTCTGAAAGGTCAAAAGTCTAATGTTCGTAAGTAGAGGAGTCCCTGTATTTTAACAAATGTTCAAGGTGACTTCAATTAACGCCAATGCATGCACGAACTATTTTTCCAAATGAATTTGGGACTTTTTTTGTTCAAAGATTAAAGGTGTCATCTTTGAACATTCATCAATTCATGTTCCGTCTCAATACATTCAGGATTCTTGGGGCGTGGAGGTTTTGTTAACGGATTTGAGGCGAACCTACCAGCATAACAACAATATTAATAAAGATTCAATGTTATCTTAAATAAAATAAACAATTGCAGCGTTTTAATGCGAGTGTTAAAATAAATGAAATAACCCCGTGTGTGTTCGTTCTTTGGGCCACCCTGTGTACACCTGTGTGTTGCTGTGGATGGGGGAGCGGTGGTGCAGCGGTTAGGGTGGTGTGCTACGAATCCGGCCACCCGAGTTCGATTCCCGCTCACAGCCCACACCGATGACGATTACCTGAACCGGTCATGGGCCTTCCCTAGGTCGACTCAGCCGCAAATGAGTACCTGGTGTGATTTGTAAACATCGCCACTAGGGAGACAAAGGCGGCCGGGTGTGGTGCTGGACACCCACCCTTTCGTGTACCATGCCGGCCTACTTCGGGGCTTGCTAACAACAGCACTTGCCCCAACAGTCTGTTCAGGCTATACTGGGGACCATTGTCATTGTGTGTGTAGCCGTCTTTGTATTTCAGTAGCCCTGTGTGTATCTGTATAAGTACCCTGGGTATAGAGATGTGTGGGTGTGTGTGCACCTGCTTGCATTTCAAAAATTGCTTAATTTAACATTTACTTTTCCATACCTTAAAACACGATAAAAATATCTCCCATCTCCTAATGAATATATAGAGCAATATATTATTATCATAATTAGAATTATTTTGTAAATTCAATTTTTTTCTTCAAAAAGGGGTAGAAAGAGGGGGATGGTGGGTAGAGTTGAGAGGTCAGCGGTCGATGTCACGTGCCAAGGGCCAAGGTCATGGCTGCCATCAGCAACCACCGCTGCAAAGAATTCTGGGTCCTCGTGGTACCTGCCCAAAGGTGAGAGGTGACGTAGGTGAGCGGTGATGCAGGTGAGTGGTGATGCAGGTGAGTAGTGATGCAATTAAGCAGTAACACAGGTGAGCGGTGAAACAGCTGAGTGGTGACAGGTGAGCGGTGACACAGGTGACACAGGTGAGTGGTGAGCCGTGACAGGTGAGCGGTGGCGCAGGTGAGCGGTGACGCAGGTGACGCAGGTGAGCGGTGAAACAGCTGAGTGGTGACATAGGTGAGCGGTGACACAGGTGACACAGGTGAGTGGTGAGCCGTGACAGGTGAGCGGTGACGCAGGTGAGCGGTGACGCAGGTGACGCAGGTGAGCGGTGAAACAGCTGAGTGGTGACATAGGTGAGCGGTGATACAGGTGACAGGTGAGTGGTGAGCGGTGACACAGGTGAGCGGTGACGCAGGTGACGCAGGTGACGCAGGTGAGCGGCGACGCAGGTGAGCGGTAACAGGTGAGCGGGGATGCAGGTGACGCAAGTAACACAGGTAAACGGTGACGCAGGTGACGCAGGTGAGCAGCGACGCACGGAGTTCCCCCCCATCTCACCTCCGGTTGCCACCGCCGGCGGCCTCTGGCGTCCGCTGGCGGCGGCCGGGTTCTCTATGTGGGCCACACACAGACGCAGCGTACGAGACAAAGCCGAGCACGCGTTACCACCGTGCGCGTACCACGGACAACGCCAACCCCGCGCCCGCCGAGGGTAAACACCTCCGACCAGTTGCGCACCCTCAACTTGCGGCTAAAACGACGATTATTTACTCGTCAGTTTCTATAAAGTTTCTTTGTTCACCAAAGAACCTGTGCCGAATATCATTGCAATCATCGAAGACCTGGTCCAACAAGGACTGAATGTTTATGTACCAGCCCTGGTGAGACACTGCCTCACCAACACATACTTCACCTAAAATGGAACATTCTACAAACAAACTGAAGGCACCCCAATGGGTTATCCCTTATCTCCGGTTGTAGTCAACATTTTCATGTAAAAAATTGAGATGGACGCCATCCAGGCATCCACTCTACGCCCGTCCCTGTGGAAGAGGTACGTAGATTACACGTTTGTCATCTGGCTACATGGCCGACTGGCTCGAAGCCAATTCCTCAACCACATAAATTCCATACTGTTGTATATATAGGCCTTTCGATTTAAAGCTTTCGTGACTGCAAGGATTCATCTTCTTTGGTTCTTTCGGTAAAGTCACGTAGAACGAGAATAAAATAATAAATTAATAAAATAAAATAACAATCAAATTCTCACAACGTTTCGGCCACAACACAAGTGGCCTTCATATATAGGCCTTTTTCCAAAATTGAGACTAAGAATAATTCTGCCAATATGTATTTTTTAAATAATCAATCGGGGTGTAGCATGAAGCACAAACAAAAATGTAACAACCACCCTCGCCCGTCACAGCAGCTGCCTTCCACAAGTCACACCAGGCAAGGAAGTAGCCATAAAAGATAAAAAAAAACCCAGGTGCAAAAGAGGAGAGGGGGGATGGTTGCTAATGAGATTCTGAGGAAATCTCTACCTGGCTTCAAAGGCCGCCACACAGCACGCACAAGCAAGAGGCGCCCCTCTTTGAGAGAGACAAAAATGTAACAACCCCAGCCGTGGGGGAAGAGGGGGGAGAACACAACCGGACAGGGGGACCCCCCCCCCTCCTTCCAGATTAATTATTGCAGAGGGTTGGAGGACTGGAAGGATGCACTTGGGGGCAATCTGGAGCATCTGTTTCCATTGATGGTGGGGTGGCTTGAGGAAGGCGACAGGAATCAGGCCTTGACGAAACTTATATTATTTCAATAAAATTAGAACACACACACACAGGCCGGACAAACAGCTGTTCCCATAGGCTAAGAGCGAGATCAAAGGAATTCCGGTCCATTGTGAGAAGGCGAGCCGAGGTGGGCGAAATTTCACATATAACCAAAGATACAGATCATGCATTTCAGCCTTGCAAGGGGCAGGCTCCGGGGCATGGCCTAGAGATCAACCATGGGTATCGTGTCTCGCAGAGAGAATGGACAATGTGTTGTTAAGAGCTGAGTTCGGCATGAACCGACAGAGTATCGCTGAAAGTTGTATTCTACATTCATCCTGATGTTTTGAGTCGCTTGCAGAATCGAGGATTGCGCTAAGTTGTATTGTACTAAGCTATCAGAGTTGTGTAAGAGGTGTGCTAATACAATTTAAAAGTTTTTGAGAGTGAGTGATCCAGCCAGCGACGAGCAGCTCACACAGCAAGAGCCCTCTTGGAAGAAGGGTGAAGAGCACGAAAGTTGAGCAACGACAAAGCGCAGCCCTTAAGTAAGGGCTGGTGTCCGTGTGAAGCTGGCAGCTGCACGATAAAGGAGAGAGCAAGAGAAAATGAGAGAGAAAGAGTGCCGAACAACGACAAGCAATCAACCTGGAGAAAGGGCGGAAAGCGCCAAGCATCGACCAAGCGAGCATCGCAGAGGACCGGCAGCAGCTGGGAACCAAGACAAGAGTGAGGAACGGCGACCAGCGGACGAGCTGCGAGCGCTATCTGACGACGGAATAATCGCGCACCGCCGACGGCGAGCATCGCGCCAACTCAACCAGCAGTGGAGAGAGCTGCAACGCCAAGAGGAAGAGTGTCTCAGCAGCAGCGTCTCCAACTCCTCCTCTGAATGAGCAGCTATTACCAAATCTTCAGCATACATAACGTGGTTGAGCAATAGCGAGCCATCCCTTGACCGCACCCGGGCATCGATCAGCCTCCCATTATGTCTGTACCATATCGAGATTCCCCCGGAACAGCTATTGAAGGCTTCACGAACTACGTGGTCGAAATAGATGTTAAATAATATGGGAGCCAGAGGACATCCCTGTAGCACCCCAAGGTGTACAGGGAAAGGCTCGGGCCCGCTCACCATCATGAAGGTCCTTAATGATCGTGAGCAGAGGGTCAGGTACTCCAAAAGCACGAAGAACAACCCAGAGCCCAGGCCTATTGATTGTATCATAGGCCTTGACCAGGTCAATAAAGCAGAGATGTAGGTCTTGTTGGAATTCCCTACACCTCTGCTGTAGCAGACGGACAGAAAATATGGCATCTGTGCAGGACCGCCCTTTCCTGAAACCGCATTGGGGCTCCGCAAGCCTCTCCTCAGCGTGCCTGGTAAGGCGATGTTGAATAATCCTTGCCAGGACCTTTCCTGGCACACTGAGGAGTGAGATGCCCCTGTAGTTGTTACAGTCTGTGCGGTCCCCCTTCTTAAAGAGGGGGACCACCAGGGCATCCTTCCAATCCTGTGGAACCCGTCCAGTGGTCCAGACTGTTGTTATGATGTCATATAGGGCAGTCTGTGCACAAACTCCACCCTCCCTCAGCATTTCGCTTGGGAGATCATCTCTGCCCGCTGCCTTTCCTGGTCTCAGACTCCGGATCGCCCTCAGTACTTCCTCAACAGATGGTACTTCAGCCAGCCACTCACAGGGGGTAACTTCTTCCAATATTTGAGGCACCGCAGCCTCAGCAGGGTCATCCTCGCTTTGTGCCACGATGTTTTCCTGGCTGAGGGATTTTCCCTCCCCCAGGACCTCGCAGAAATGCTCAGCAAATCTGCAAACCTGTTCCTGGGGGTCGGAGATTGGATCACCGTTTTTTCGCCTAATGATGGTAATAGGTGTGGCGCTGCAGGTTACCTTTTTGATGGAGTTAAATAGAGATTTGTGATCGCGGGCCACTGAGGCAGACTCCATCTCCTCAGCAACCCGCGACCACCACCCATCCTTGCAGCGCCTCACGGCTCTCCGAACCTCCGAGCGAAGGTTGCGGTAAGCCTCCTCATTCTCTGACGTCCGGCAAAAACAACCCGCTACCTCCTCGCGGTGCCGGACGGGCAACTCCGTCGTGGACAGTGCTGTGGGGGGAGGGCCAATTCCGATTGGTTCCTCCCCTCATGGCGTCTGTGACCACCACAGTGGCTAAACGGGGGCTCTGGACGGGTGCGAGGGGCTGGTAACCCCTCCACCTTTCAAAAAATTACCACGAAACTACGACTTAAACACACACATACACACACAGTTACACACACATACACACACACATACACACAGTTACATACACACACACAGTTACACACAGACACAGTTATACACACAGTTACACACACATACGCACACACAGTTACACACACATACGCACACACACACACGCCATCCCAGCGGTCCTGCTGGGAACCCGAGGTATTTTCAGCACAAGGAACGCCGTACTGCGTAAGCCGCCAAGTCAACAAGTGGCAAAGAAGAAACGCACACATAACACGCATATCGGGACTAATAAGATTGTTCCAAAAAGTTATCTTTGTGTTTCAAGAAGGGTTGCCATTCCAAGGTGGTGCGTTAAATATCAGCTGATCGTGAAAAGCATTGCTGCCCGTCGACTTACATTAATACGATTGTTAGAAGTATTTGACTCATTCGTTTTCGTTAATTGCACAATCTTGCCAATGAATTACTTGATAACTACTCTTGCTTTAGGAACAGGTTCCTTCATTGCTGTTTGTATGAATATTATCACATACATTTTTGAGGACTTTTTCCCATCGCCGTGTATGCTCGCGTTACTCTGAGGAATGAATCGATTGTTCTGTTACCCAGTTTAACAAACGTAATTATTGAGGGTTAAATGTATGGATCAATGAGGAGAACATCTCCAGGAGTACTGTGTTGACAATTCCAAGCATAAGAGTTCGCATATTAGAATGCTATGTTTTTAAAATTAAAATTGCTTAACACAGAAATGTCTGAGCGGTGCCTTCCTAAGTTTATGCGTAATAATCTTAATTATAAGAACTGTATGCTGCGGTGAGATTTGAATTTGGAGACCTGACATAAATACACTAAGACATAATCAGTAAATGTTAAAGTGAGAATCATTGCATTATCCTGAGTGATAATACAACCCTAGACAACGAAGCCGAGCTTAATCTAGCATACTAACATCACACTTGCATAACTTCATGCAATTCATTGTATTATCCCGGTTCATAATAGGACCCTAGACAACGAAGCCGAGCCGAATTATCATAACTGCATAGATTTAAATTTTGATTTAAAGCTTTCGTGACTGCAGTAATTCATATTCTTAGCTCTTTCGGTAAAGTCACGTTAAAGGGAAACAAAACAATAAAATATATATAAACCAATAAAAAAGTATCACGACGTTTCGACCATAACATTGTTATAATTCAGTAGGCTCACATGACATTGACTTCTCCAAGACAGAGGTTCTTTGTAAGCCATCTGGCTACCATGAGAGATTCGTTCATGAGGCTATCCACATATACAAGCACAGAGTCAATTTCAACCGAGAAGATGGATTCTGGCTTAGCAATCATTGGAAGGATTTTATAAACCATTTCAGGTCTTAATTGATTGTTCACGCTTACGGTGGCTTTCAGACAGCTTACATAAATTTTTCGTCTCCCCCCTCCTCTTTTCAGAACATAGATGGACTCGTCCTTCTAAATAAACTGCCAAATCGCTGCCCGTGGCGTTAACGTTTTTTTTTAAATAAATAAATGCACCGTTTATAAATAAATAAATTCTAATCACCACTTCTTTTTAA